CCTTAACCCATGGCCACTGCAATGGGACATGGATGTTTCTGCCATGGAGAAGGGTGGTCCCCAGTCACCCCCAGCCACACTGCCTCCTGTGTGCTGTCCTGTGTTCCTCTTCATCTCTGTGACTGTGTAATCATGGTCTTTTCCTACTATTTTGAGATACGTTATCTGTTGACTCTGCATGGCTGTTACTTGCTTTGTGATGAACAGTTGTACTCACTACATCTGTAAATTTAAGTGATTTTCAGGGTTATCCCAAAGAACTTTGCAATCATCACTTCAGCCAAATTCTGTGGTAGAGAATTTCCAGCTCTTCATGATCTTTCACAACAGCCTTCTAAAAAGTGTACCTAGAAAAAGAGGGATTTTTTTAAGGGTTAGGTTTTTTTTTTATATATTGAATTGAAAAAAGTCCACCAAGCAAGTCAGGCTCCACAAGGAGAGGTGACTAAAGCCTACAGTAAATAGTGTCTGAATATCTGAGGATCTAGGCTACCTGCCTATCCTCAAATAATAGTTCTGTAGCATTCATAAATATTAATGTCACCCTGGGGCAGAACACTACACAAGAATTTGTGACAGATACACAATAGCTGATTCAATAATTGGCTTTTGGGTAGTTGTGCAATTCTACACCCGTCCATCCCTGCATCCCTCATGAGCGTTCTGCAGTCATTCTCACTGCAGCTTCTGGTCAATGCTGGCTCAGCCATCCAACCCTAGTGCAGGCATCCTCCTGTGAGGGAGCAGGACTTTGGTTTGACCAGTGGGCAATTATCCCACAGGAAAATCGAGGGGCATGGATGTAGAGCAAGATGGGCAGCTTGGAAAGCCCAAGGAGGGCGGCAGGCAGCTGAAGCTTGCTGTGGAGAGAACAATACCCAGTGAGGGGGAGGAAGGGTTGTACAGCTCCAGGTACAGCACAGTCTTGTGCCATTTAAACACTATGGTACCGAATTATAATTCCTCTCCTTGCTATCTTCAGTTTAAATGGCATGATAAATCTTTGCTAACTGCTTTAAGCAATAGATGCCCAGATGCTCTCTGTTCAAATGTAAGCCCAAAGTTGAAGTTTTCCTGGGAACACCTGGATTTGGTTAAAGATCCTGTACGTGCCGGTGAAAACCCACGGAAAGTCAGAAGTGCCTTTTCTGCTATCCCTCCTTCAGTGGGCTGCTGTCTGCCAAGGTGGGAAATTGAAATAGCTGTAAATGTTTATTACTGTGACATTTAAATATTTGAAATTAATCAAGGGACTCTTTTTCTTTCAATGTTACTTTATTTAACTATTATTGTTTCTGTGGTTTTTAGATCACCACATCCTGACCAACAAAATGGTCGGAATTTATTCTGGGCTTTGTCATTCCTTGAAGTCTGAGGGATAAAAATGGATACTTATCTCCTGTCAAGCTCCTTGGAGAGCTATGAGGAAATGAGCAATAAAAGGCTCTTTGAGGCTCTTTTAACTTTAGTTTATTATCTATTATAGCTACTGATGTGTGAAAATCAACAGAGAAATTTTACGTGTTTATAGTTACAAAGCCCTTAACAGCTGTAGCTATGGGCTGAGCACTTACAGCTTTGTGAAATGTGTTTTTATAAATGTAACATTAAATCATTGTGATTTTGTAAACCGGTCTCCTTAAGAAAATTCCTGAGATAATAATATGTGGGTTGATATACTCACCCAGTGCTGGTTTGTGGGTACTCACTTGCTCTCACTTGTTTTGTATCTCCACCAAGAGAGCAATGCCTGATGTGCACTTTCCAGGGTGTCGTGGTTTAAGCCCAGCCGGCAGCCCAGAACCATGCAGCCACTCGCTCACTCCACCCTTGCTCTCCCTGCTCCCGGAGTAACTAAGGTATAACACAAATCACTGCTGCTGCCACCAATAATAAAAATAATAATAATAATAATAATAATAATAATAATAATAATAATAAAGGAAGTAACAAGGGAAGAGAATACAACTGCTCACCACCTGCCAACTGATACCCAGCCTGACCTGAGCAGTGATCTAGCCCTTCCGGGTAACTGCCCCCAGTTTATGTACTGGCCATGACGTGCTGTGGTATGAAATACCTCTTTGGCTAGCTTGGGTCAGGTGTCCTGTCTCTGCTTCCTCCCGGCTTCCTCTCCTCCCTGGCAGAGCATGAGACTCAGATGGTCCTTGGTCAGAGTAAACATTACTGAGCAGCAACTAAAAATATCAGTGTTATCAGCACTGTTCTCAGGCTGAGAGTCAAAACCACAGCACTGCACCAGCTACTAAGAAGAAGAAAAATGACTGCTACTGCTGAACCCAGGACACAGGGGCAGGACTGATGATGGCCAAAATGCATGAAGCAATGCTGTGTTACGTTTCCCCTTGCTAGATGCAGCACTGGATAGAAGAACAGGGTTGCAAGAAGAAAGCTGGGTGACTCGAAGGTGCTCAGCATACTGAAGGACTCAGGACTGTGCCAAACTATCTCCCCTCCTCGGGACTTCAGGATGCAGCAAATGGCTCCTCATTTCTTTATCCCTGAGGGAGAATTTATAGACACTCATCCCTTGGGCACACTGGCCAAGTGATGGCCATGGAGAGCTCTTTCTGTCCCCAGGGTGACTGGCACTTTATTATCATCTCCTGTTCCTCATGAGTTTCATGCAGTTTTAGGACAGAAGTACGCTCTTCTGTGCATTTTCCTGCTGTCTGCATTTCTCTTCTCATCTGGCTTGGGTGGAATTTTTGCATGTAATCCTCTCTACCGGAAAAAGCAAAACTAATAAACCATTTGGATCCAGTGCAAAGGACGGCACAAAGGATGTTCTCAGCCCATACGCATTGCTGATTAATAATACTGCCAAGGGCATACATTAAAGCAAACACATTGAGAATGCAGATGTGTCAACTCTTGTCTTTTACATAAGAAATTCACTCTTGGCCATCCAGACTGCTGTTCACTACTGCATGACTGTCCCTGGCCAAACATGAGTCCCATGCACTGGGATTCCAGTAACTCGAGAAGTCTGAGAATATGCAGCAGTAAAACAAACACCAGCCATTCAACTTCCCAAACTGCATTAAGCCAGAAGAAACAATGTTATTCCTGCAGGTCTGTTTTAAATCAAACCAAATATTATTCTGGAGCCAGAGCAATAATTCAGTAAAACTTGATACAATCCTGGAAAGCCATAGAAAGCATTAGGAAATACCACTAGAAGTTGAGACCTAGAGATACTGTGAAAATGTGTGTTATTAAACTAAATAGACATGCCTCTTAAATACTAATTGAGGCACTCTGCAGAGGATGATGGGTTACCTTTTCAATAATGATCCTTAATATTCAGGAGATTTTTTCTGCATGCAAAATCTGAATCATTTTCCCAGTGGTACTTGCAGCTGAAATATTGCATATAAATGTATAGGAAAAATACATCCATACTGCCATGGAAGCTGTCTAAGTGGTATTGCTGCTTGCCATGCTTTGGTGATCATTTAGACTACCAGTTAGATGACCAAGATCTTCAGCTCTGCAGACGAATTCTGATGGTAAGGGGTAAGGTGCAAGAGGGAGGTTTGCTTTCCTTTCGAGGGCTGCTGCTGCCACTTCTACTGTGCAGAGCCTCTAAGAAGCAGGGATTAAAATCATCAGTGGCATTTTTGATGAAATGTTACATTTTTGGGTTGGCTTTGCTTCCTCTATAATCTTCCTTAAATGGAGCATCAATAGCTACATTCTGTACATTTTGCACAAACACCAATTGAGTTTCACCACACATTTCACTTGAAAGGGAAGGCAGTTGGTGTACAAAAGTTAAATGATTTGGCCTCTGAGAATATCTGTTTTAGAGCTAGCATTGGAAAACACCAGAGCTGCTTCCCACCTCTCCTGCATACATTTCTGTGTTGTGCTTCTGCCTAAATAGGGAAGGTAAAAAATATAGTGTTTCTGGTGATACTTCGTCGCTTCTTTCATAGACTCAAGATGATTTACAAGTAAAATGACCTTCTAGTGAATGTATTGTTTTCATTGAAACATCAGGATGATATTATTGTTGCTTTAGGTTCCATATTTTTATTGTTAAAAACACAGATCTAGACACTACATTACACATTTTTGGCCTTTTTACCAAACACTGTAATATTATGATTAGATACAGAAAAGGCTTAATGTTTTTCAGAAATAAGTATTGTTACCTTTCTTCTCAGTTTTTTTACAGTGCTGATATGACTTTTTCTCTTATTAACTCTTTTAAGATACATAGTGTTGTTGGTCATAAAATTTTTATCAAGACTTTTTGAAGAGAAAATAGCCTCTGGTGATACAAGACTTTCAGTGTTTGAATTCCTTAGAGCTTTTAAAATGAAAATATTAGCATATTTGAAATTAATTAATGCACCACACTTGCTGAAGAAAACCAAAAACTTCACATAAAGGGTATAAAGAACTAAATCTGTGTAGGAATACCTCCTGAAAATGGCAGTGACATTGTAGTCCATCCTGGTACTGATTTCTTCTTCTATGTTATTATTTCCGAATTTGGATCCTTTGTGTTCATGTTGTACTGGTGGAGGTTTTGGCACTGAATTTAGTGAAGTCATCATCCAGACCTGGAAACACTGTGACTACCAAGAGCTGTCTGAAATGGTTTCTATGAAAGTGTTTAAGACAAACTAAGGATAAACAAGACCCTTTGCAATGCCCAGAGCTGTCTTGTCCCATATTGTTTGCAAAGCACCACTGATACCAGAAAATGCCTTTGTTATGAGAAAAATGACTGATGTAGGACTTCAATATTCCACAGATTTGAAGGGTGCAGTGATATTTCAAAAAAATTATGGAAAATTAACTTGTCAGATTAATTCTAAGAAACGTGTTTTTCTCAAGAGTGCTGAATGAGAAACTATAAAGAGTGCTGGAGGGTTTGTATGCCCAGGACTAAGTACATCTGTGCAAATAATCTTACAAAAAAATTCCAATGTGTAACTTGTTTTGCTGCTCACTTTTCTCCCCAGGTTTGCCAATTTGTTGTATCTGTCAACGGCCTCAACGTTCTCCATGTGGATTACAGGACAGTGAGCAACCTCATTCTGACTGGCCCTCGAACAATTGTGATGGAAGTCATGGAAGAAATAGAGTCCTGAGAAGGAAAAAAACCTCTTACTGGACATAGTTGTGAGAGAAACAGTGGCAACCATGGAGCGGCATGACACAAGGAGGCAGAACATTGCTGTGTCTACATAGATGATTTTGCTTTTAGGGGAGGGGGGCTCTCTTTCATTTAACAATAATAGCACTGGTGATTATGCTAAGAAGTGAACAATAGATACCAGCGTGTTTCCACTTTTTTTTTCCCTATGGAGACAAGGTTAAGGCCTTTAGGTTGTTTGTCCAGCTATGTCTGCATCGGTCACAATGGTTTCCTACCTGAAGAGGCTGTGCAGATTTCATCACAGTCCATCGCCGGATCAAAGCACTTGAAGAGATGAAAGAACCAAACACTGTGGGGTCAAGATGACACAGATAGTCTGCATGACATTTACATTGGTAAACATCATCCTGGTGTCCAGCTTTGTCCCAGGAGCATGTGCTGCTGCAATTTGTCTCTCCTTGGGCTGAGGGACAGCTGACTAAATGCTAGCTTGATTGCAATCAAACAGAAACAAACTGCAAATGCATGAAAATGGGTATCCATTCTCTGTAGAGGATACTCTGAGATGAATGTTTGGGCCTGATCGAATACGCAGATTAGTCTAGAAAGAAAAATTATGCAAATGGAAGAGCGTGCGGTACTTTTACAAAATCTGCCTTTGAAAATTGGGCTTTTTTTTGTTTAGATGCTCATGTATAAAACGTTGATTTTGGTTTATTTCCTTATCTGTAAAGGAAGGGTGTCTTGGCCTTGCAGTTCACCACTTTGGAGAAATTTTGGGCACCTTTGTTCCTAGAAGTAGAATATTTGGCAGGTTGAAGTGGGAAATTCACAGGGTTGACATTAGCAATGGTACATCCATCCAAGTACATCCAAGAAAGTACACTTCAAATTGAAGCAATGTACTTGAATGTACATTAAGCTTGTTAGCACTTTCCAATCATTGAATGTTTTGCAAACTACCAACTTGCCATGAGTTGCATTTGTCACTATGACTAATAAAACATTGCATTTAACTGACTCTTAACTCTTTTTCAAACAGTAGTATTTCTTCATTGGTGAATTCATGAGACAAATCTGGTTTAAAAATGTATATAGAAATTCCATATTCTGTGGAGTTAGGTGACTCCTCAACTCAATTGTAAAAGGACTACTTGTTTTTTTTTTTTTATCTTTGAACTGCATAAATGCATCCTTGTACACAAATTTACAAATATATATTGCAGACTTTCTCTGCTATTCTAAATTTTGCAATTAAAGCTTGACTTTCTGTATGATCATACCGCAAATCATTCACTTACAGGGTAGGAAAAGTATTTTTTCCTCAAATAATTTTGAAATATGTTTTATATTAAAAATTGTTCTCGGTAAATGCATTGCTCTTGCAGTATGTTTTTCATTCACTCAAACACTTTTACGTCAGAAATACAGCAAGTCTTCAAAATCAGATATGCCTGCAGCTTTGTAGGTAGAAGTCCATGTGTTTATTGTTTCTGATGCAGTTTATCAGTGGCTGATTTTCACCATGAAAACTTCCATATTCCACTAATATGCGGGAGTGCAGAGAGGTATAAAACTGTAAGTGCTAACTTGATAGTGTCCAGGCACAAAAGTGTTTGGAGGAGTTTCTCAAACTGCCATTTAGTATGACAGCTGTTTATCCTGATTTTACCACAAAAAATTTTGGTACACATGTTTAACCCATAGCAGATTAGATTCTACAGCTCATCTAAAATAAGTAGTTCAGCACATAATGTTATATGAGGTTGCAACAGCTGTTGATGGTATCCACTAGGAATAGTCGGGAAAAATCCTGTTGTCCCAGAAATGTGTCAGTATGATATGAGTTTTTGATTTTGTGAATCCAGGAATGATTCCCCAAATACTTCTGTTTTGCTTCCCTTTTCTGCCTGGGTTGTTTTGGTGGCTTGGTCAGTATATACTTAATACCACTTTAAAATATAAATTCTACATTAGGCTAGGTTAAATATAAAATGTGAAGGATTTTCTTAGCAAAATGCTAATGATTCTTTCTAACGCCATTGTGGTCTGTCTTACATCTCTTGACTTAGTTAATATTCTGCTACTAGTTCTCTGTAGCTTGCAGATAATTAAGAATCTGGGTCAGAATTTAGCTTAATAATGCATTACAGTGTGCACTTTAGACTTGAGCAAAAAGAGTGGGAATGGGGGCAGGGAGAAATCTGTGCATATCATTATGTTACAGATTGGAGATGGCATTTTCATTTGCAAGATACATTAGTCTCTATCACAATTTAAGCACTGTTACTTGCCTGCTGTTTAATGGGGATTTCCATATTGTGTTCTCAACTTGATTGGCAATCCAGAGTTTAATTAATTCTTTCCCTCTTCAGTATGACAAAGGTATTCAAATTATCTCTGCAATGAAACTTCTATTTTGGAAAAAGGATGTTAAGTTAACAATCGAGTTCTGAAACGTATCATTTCCAATTAAATTGCAGTTTATTTACACATAGTGATACATACCCTCTGAGACATCCCACAGGAGCGTCAAACACTTATACACTTCAGAGGGCACACAAATCCCTATCGTTTCAATGAAGTCATTACTGCTGATGCCAGGGTTCTTTTTTTCCTTTCTGGTTTCTTGCTTCAGTCCACACTGTGATATTCATACATCTCTTGAAATGCCTCACTTCTGTGCATAATCTTACATTTCCCCTGGTACTTTGCAGGAAGCAAAGTACTCTATTATATTCACAGTGTGGACTGAAGCAAGAAACCAGAAAGGAAAAAAACCCTGGCATCAGCAGTAATAACTTCATTAAAAAGATAGGCATGTTTGTAAGACTTCCTCTCTTATGTAATTGCATTTCTGGTTACTATAGATCTTGTGAGATGCTCTAATAAATCTTTATGCCTTATTAACACAGATTAGTGCCAGTCCTTTGCACATGTGCATTTGCAAATCATTTATGGAACTTCTTCAAACAAAATAATAGTTAATTAAATTCAGGTGGCAGTTAAGCTAATTGGGGCATTAATTCAGTGCAATATTTCTCCTAGTTTTTTTTCTGTTATATTTCCTACAAAATACATAATTTGTATTATTTTTATTAAGATCAAATACTATATGTATACTATTGAACACAACTGGTTCCACAACTGGTCCCATGGAAAGCATTTCATTCTTGAAGTTAGGCAACAGCCCACTTCAGGTGTATCAGAATTTGACTGTCTACATTTTAGGTCCCCAGAGAAACTGAAAATAAAATTGTCAGCATCAAAAAGACATAGTGGTGCCATAGCAACATCTGCAATACCAGTGGGTCTGTCTTCCTACTGTCTTCTATGAGATTACCTTTAGGAAGAAGTTTGGGAGGAAAAGGTCATGTAGTAGGAATATTTCTGTGGGTATTTTCTTCCTTTTCTGGTTATATCCTCACTAATGACTATGTGTAATAACTACATTTATTGAATGCTATGGATGTGTTAAACACTGCCCCATAATCACTGATTTAATGGTCAGCATGTCCCCTTAGCATGGTTTAGACCTCTGAGGAAATTGCCCGATTACAGTTCAGAGAATGAGGTGAGATCAGAATTTGGGCACAGGGGTGCAAGACTTTGTTGTGCCACTTGGCCTTAGGACCAGAGAGCGGTCCCTGTACCAATTTGATGTACTAACAGACAGAGCCAAAAAGAGTAGTCTGAAGTTTAAGGAGTGACTGAATTCTTTCTTCATCTGCACTGACAGCTATGATGCATGGACGTTTCCTCATGGATGGAGACAGAATGATCAGATTATGGGGTAATGCTCTAATTCAGGTAACACTGTGAATCAAACACCAAGTTTTAATGTTTTGCTAAATAAGAATTATTCTAATTTTAGAAACAGGAAAAAAAATGAGACAATATGGTTTGCCAAAATGTTTGCCTAATGCAAGACAGACTGGGAAATCAATTGTTGCAATTATGAGTATTTTCTTCCCAGCGTATAATTAGAACTAGACCACTTGTATGAGTGAAAAAGCATGTGTATGTCACATGTGTAAGTAAAGCTAGACTACACCACTCTTCAGAGTGAGGGAACTTCTAACCTTTTACAACAGAACTGCCATTAAATGTTTCCATTAATAATACTTCTTAAATCTGTCTATCTGGTGAGTGATGTGGCTTATATTTTTCACTAATATGTGTTATTTATAAAAACAAAAATAGTAACTGACAATGTAGTAATTCCTTTTGCATACACACAGGGCAGACAAAAATATCACTGATGTTCCAGAGAAGCTGAGTGATTTCAAGCTATTAGATTTCTCTAGAAGCTTCTACATAAATAAATATTTAAACATTCATTTTTAAAATGCAAGAGATAATCTAAGAATGTTAAAGAATGACACAGGACTCAACGATACAACTACAAACAGTGTTTCACATACAGCTACTTAGTCTTCATAGCTGCAATTCCTCAGGAAAAATCAGAAATGTTCAGAAGGGAATAGCTGTAACTGTCAAACTGAATGTCCTCTAGCAAAATGGCTGCTGCTTTGCATTTAGGTATCCATTCTTATATTGTCCATGGGAGTTGTGAATTTCCAGTACTGTTGAAACTCAAGTTGCATAAGCACGTGCTTAAATGCTTAGCTTCAAGAGCACATGTTTGAAAGAGGCACTGTACGCTACATAGCACAAATTGTTGTATTGCCTCTTACATAAAAATACTGCCATACACACAGAGCTGTCACATCCTGTGTCACAGTAGCTCTCGCTGCATTTAGAGTACAACAGTTCCCTATGGCATTTGTGTGGCCTTGTCAAATAATAACCACAATTTCTTTTCAGAATTTGCAGGTGATTAGAGCCATAGGAATTCTCTTCGTTTTACATGTGACTTCTTGCTTCTGTTCTTAAGGCACATCTACCCAGAGACTTCTATAAAATGGCCTCTAGGTTATTGTATGTGGACAGCTAGTGGTGTGCAGGCCACTTCAAAGAGGTATTTACATTGTGCCTGAGTATCTGAACACCTCCTCTACTGGGAAATGCTCCTACTGCTCCTGTTCCTACTGCTGCATGCACTCAAGCAGGCCAAACTGGAGAACACTGGTCTAAAGGTCAGCCTGTGCCCACCACTGTTCTGCTTTTAACAGTAATTTATGGATGTATTTTGTTTTCTTTCCTATTCTTCTACTTTTTTTTTTTTTTTTTTGCCACAGTTAACAATTGTCCTGCTTCCAACTCAGAATGGTTCTTGAAGGTCCTGATGGCCCTGCTGTTTTTGTCATTTTTACTAGTCTGTTTTCGAGTGGCTCTTTATCGAGAACATCACTAGCTTTTTACAAATTAGCACCGATTATTCATCAAGCCTAAGATTTCAGGAAAATAGCTGAACTATCAAATTATAAATAACATACAAACAAAGCCTTAAGGTAAGAGAACAAAGCAAGGTAAAGTTAACATAATGATGGGATAAAATTCATTCAAGGTGTAAAACACCACCCCACCTACTGTGTAAGAAAGCTGTATGGTTCGTAACACAGTATGGGCCGTAGCTTTTATGTACTTTCTCAGATTACAGAGAGAAAAGGTAAGAGACCTCCAAAGAGTGGTGTTGTGCTCCTGCCCCCTGGATGAGCTACCACAGACCCTCTGCTCCCTTCCTCTAGCACATCCCAGCTACAGCACAGCCTCTCAACCATAGATGGACTTAGTACATAAACTCAGGTCTTCACTGCAAGCGGTAAATTACTGGAGAATTTAATCAGTAGGATTTATGATTTCCTCTTCAGGTTTTAGAGTATTTTGTATTAAACAGAAGGAGAAGAAAATACACAAAAATCTCCCTTTATCAAATTAGATGTTTTCTTTTTTTTTCTTTCTTTATGTTTCAAGGGGACCACACTTTTCTGTCTTACCCAGGAATAACTTGGGGAACACTAATTCATAGCTGCATTACTCAGGCAAACCTCCACTGAGTCTCCCTGGGAAAATTTTACCTGAGCAAAACCTGCAATATGATACTTAGCACTAGACTG